CAAAAGTAATTAGAGAAGAAAATTAGAAAATGTAAGTTGAAGAAAAATTGAAGGATACCGTTGGTAAAGACCTTGAAAGTGACATTTATCTCGTAGAACAAAGAGAGTAATTTTGTCATTATCGCGTTGATCAGCAGCAATGATCTCGTTTGCAATACTAAATTAAATGACGTCGACAACTAAACCGATAATAATAGGCGAAACAATGATGATCTTTTTTGTAAATATCAAGAAAACTGATTAGTGCTTAAGTGATTCAATTTCCTCATTTCGTTTAGTCTCTTTAAGCATATGTCACAGTCTGTTTAAAATTAATTTATTTTCTAACTGGTCAAGCTGAATTAAATTTTCCAATTTTTTTATGATACAATATTAGTATTATTTTTTATGCCGCGTTAAGATTATATTTTTCTTATAAATGTATAAAATAAATAAATAAAATAATAATAAAAACAAATAAATATACAAAAATATGTCGAATAAATTAATAGAATTGCTGGATTCTATTTAATAGAAAGGTTTTTAATCAACAAGTAATGGATAATGAAGATGAAAGTTAATCAGATGTTGAAACCGTCTTTTGAGCGCATTAATTTTGTAGAATAAGTATAGACGAGAAGAGCAAATAGTTGGAAAAGGACAGATAGATAGCTTAAAAATCCGAGAATTAACGCCATCTCTAGAGCGTAAATGAAACTAACAAATAGACAAGGAGAGAAAATAGTAGAACAAAGACAGAGATAGTGTAAAAATTAGGAAATCAGCGCCATCTCCAGAGTGCCGCAAATGAAACACAAAAAAGACAAGGATAACAAATAAAAGAAGGATAGAGATAAGGTAAGAATTGATCATCAGTGCCATCTCTTGAATGCTGAAAACATCTCTTCAAAAACAGATAGATAAGGTAAAGTAAGAATTATAGATTAGCGCCATCTCTTGAGTACGAAAAATATTTTATTAAAAATATATATATTCACATTCAAAAGATGGCGCTAAAAGTTAGTTTTTATTCTAACTTTATACTTCTTTTATTATTTACTCTCTTTATTTATTCTCCTTGTGTTTCATTTGCGGCATTCTGGAGATGGCGTTAATTTCCTAATTTTTATTCTATATTTATCCTTGTCCTACTAATTTCTCTCTTTATCTATACTTGTTCTTAACGTGTGATCATAGACGAGACATATCAATTGAATATTATCATCATTTTTCTTTTAAAATTACAATATACGTTTATTTTTAGTATAAAAAATACGAATATTACATACATTATATTTAATTTGTAATAAATTTGATACGTACATAATTTTTAAATTTTTCAAAAGGTTATATATTATGTATAATATTATTGTATATAATTTTTACAAAAATTATTTTAGATTTTAAATTATGTTTTCGTGTATTTATCTTAGAAATAATTATACTAGATGTGGAATATTATGGAATAATAATAATTTTCAATCTGAATAATTGCTTAACAAAAAATATTTAATATATCATTCTTATATTTGAATGATAAAAATAAAAAATTGATATAGGTATGTATCCTCTCCTTACAAAAAAGAAACATTTATTATTTTTTAATTAATAATAATTTATAAACTAACTATTTGTAAACAAAATAAAGTATATATATAACAGTGATTCGCGATGCAAGATGCTAAACTTGATCATAACCTGTTTACTTTTATTTAACAATACTTCTATTTAACAATAGAAATCACTCTTTGGTTTATATATTTATATTATAAGAATTGATTAAAGTTAACATTATTATAAATATGAATTTGAATGTCAAAGTATCCAGAATAATCCATAAATTAATAAATCGTAAGTTGTATATTACTATTTAAACAGTTTCTTATCGTGCATTACGAATGAATTGTAATTGTATGTAATGATTTTGTCGTAATTTTCTTTTTATTAATTATAATCTTAATCGTAGAAAAATAATTAATTTGTTTTGTCATTTTAACAAAAATGAAAATTATTCATCATTGTTGAATAATTTTTTTTGATATCTCAAGTTGATAATTGATGAGGAAAAAAAATCGCATCATTGCCAGAGGATCCCAACTATCAAGAAAAACAAGATGTGACCCTGACTACAAAAATCATTATCCCTTCTCTATTTTTTACCAATACATACCAATGGTATATCATCAGAAAATTAAAGAAATTCGACGAATTCAAAGAAGAATCGAAGTATGAGAATTAACTTATACGAATTATTTTATGATTGGAATTTCCACAGTATTTTCACAAACATCTTATTATATATAAATGTTAATGGTATATATTGAATGAAATGTTTTTGATCAATTGGAAAATTTATAAACATAAACAAGATATCCAATCGTATCGATCGTATACGATGTTTATATATATATAGTTTTCTTAACTTTTGACATATGTATATGTTTTTTTCTCTGTCATTCTGTTTATATTATCGAATGAAAAGATTGTCTCTTCGAGATAATTTTATTCAATAGAATACAATACGTACGTATATTTGTACATACATATATAAATACAATATTTAACTTATACATATATATTTCATTTTACAAAATAAAATATATTTTATGCTTAAGAGTAGAAAAATCGTGAATTATGTCTATATGATAAATTTTAGAAAAAACTTAAGATCAAAAACTTGAAGATCATACTATAAATTCGATTAATATTATAATATTAATTCGACATATTAATTTTTTCTTATGAACAAGATTTTTCGAAATGTCTTTATATTTTCTTTGTATATAAATTATTGAATAAAAATTATAATATAAAATTATATAAATGAATAATGAAATATTAGAATGAATGAATCAGATAAGCATTAACATACTATCATATACACATAATAGCAATTATTCAGAAAAGGTCATTAATTTTATATTATGTATAAATCAAATATATAAACAAAATTTATTATGACTAATCTCATAATATTCTATAATTATTTCTCCTGCTGTTTTGAAATTAATTTTGAAATTAAAAAGTATTTTTATACCACTTTTAAACCAGAATGTTTTTACTAAATTGATTCATTGGTTTAAAATATGCGTATCAAGGAAGATTTCATTTGACTGAAAGGAGAAAGGCATTAGTGATGACATTGAGTAAAGTTTTTCCCTATGACATAAAAAACTTCATATCATAAAAATTGTGCATACGCAATTGGAATACGGGAAGTTATGATGATTTTCTATCGATGTATGACTCGATCGTATCCATGGTGGGGAATCCAGTTTGCGGATTTATATACAACAGTCAGCATCACTTTGAATAGATTAGTTTCGAACAGTGAAATCGAATAGTTATAATAGTTCGTTAAAAAAAGGTCATAAATATTTCCAACGTGTATAATTTATTACATTTCTGTATTTTAAACAACATACCATCCACGTGCAATATGGTGAGTAAATTATAAAACTTTCTTTTTATAAAATTAATAAGAGATCAAAGGAAATAAATATTATTTTTTAAATCTTTACATTAATTTTCCAATGTATATATATGTTTCTTAAAAAATAAATTAATATTCTTTCGATGAATAAAAATAAAAGATATAATCAAGAACAAGTTGATTTATTTTTGTAAAATGTTAGGTTATAACAATCATTTATTGCAAGTGCAGTTAAATTTGTGTAATGATGTATTATATATTTAACTAATAATCTTTTTTCAAATGTGTTGTTACAGATAAAATACGTAGTAATTTTATACACCATTTTTATTTCCGTACAATCACAGAGACCACCTTTTGCCGGAAACAGTAAACCTTATCCGAGTGTTCTTCCACAATATTTGGAAGAACAGGGAGCAATTAATAATATTAATAAAAAAACAATTGCAAGTCGACTTGGTGCTAGCAGTAGCGATTCGATAGCATTAGGAGCAGCTCCTGTTATTACAACTTCGACATCAACGATTCCACCAGATTTGCCAGTGGATGCTTTGGGAAATGTTGACTTAATAAATCGGATTAAAACCTGGCCAAGAGAAAAACAACCGTTCTGGTACATCAATTGGAAACAGATTCAAGAACATCGTGGTGATTCAAAAAATAGAGCTCAATTAGTTCAAACGGAACCGAATCAAAGATCATTTTTTGCAGGATAAAAAAAAGTTTAAAATTTTAATTTTATTCTATGTTTAATTCGAATCGACAAACACCATCAACGTTTTGCTAGTCAAATTGAAAACTTTCTTGCGTAAGATTTAATCGATCACTGATATAGTTATTTTATCGATATAAAATTTAATATCGAATGATTCGATGATTACGATAATTAAAATAAAAATATAAGAACTTCAAATCGTTATCACATAATATTTATATCAACGAAGAAATGTTATTTTATGGAAAGAAAAAAAGTGTTTAATTTCGTTTCTTAAAGAAAGAAAAAAATGTTTAATTTCATTTTTGAAATTAATTTACATTTTTTTTATAAACAATAAAAAGAAATTAATTAAAATAGATAAAATACTTGAAAAACTTTAAATTTCTAATCCACCTGCTGAGCAAGCCACAATCGCCAATAAGATATCACGACGAGACAGGACAGGATAGAAATCCAAGCATCTGATTGGATCGTGTAAGTTGCGCACGAGTAGCCGACTATACGTCCATGACGTCACGTCAGTCCGTCCAATGCAAGCGCTTGGATCTCAGTAATAACCCTATGTGCGTGGTGTACGCCGAAGCGTGCTACTCGTATTCGGGTGTACAAACGCGAGAGAAGTGATACAATATCGGTCTGTGAAAGATGTTACCCGACAAAGACATGCCAGTCAAAACTTTCGTTCGATAGGTTGTTTTTTATATATTAAAGAACACGTATACTCTACGAGCAAATGTATTCGAAGAATTGTCGTGTTAAGAAAAAGATAGACTGTACATCCGCCGTACCTGACAGTCCACGCGGCCCGGCCCCAAAACACTTTCGCCTCGCTATATACACGAGAAATCGCATCGTGTTTCATTCACAACGCGAGCGCCACTGGCAATGTCGGGAAGTGACAGCCCAACATTCTTTCACGGCCAGCCCTGGTCCAGCTGGATCGAAAGAATCGGACGAGACAAGCCGTTGAGTAAGTGCGCTGAATCTCATCGAAATGTTCGTTCGTTTGCTGTCGCTGCTTTAAAACTGCGACAACGACAAGCGTCTAGCTCGTGTACCTAACCTCAACTTCGATGCTCCTTTGTCCGTCGACTTGACGCAGGGCATCATTAGGGCCCATCACATGCATTTATTTAAAACGGTTGTCAACAATTGTCCAGTGCGCTTCATGGTTGATATTTTTTCGCAACATCACGCGTATTTTAACGGCTCTTTCCACTGACAATTATGTAATTTGTAGCGAAACTGACTGTGAAATACGGAGCGTCGAAACTTTAGCTTTAGAGCATATAGTATATTGGCATGGATCATGAAAATTTCGCGAAACGATCTTAATCGAATCGTATTCGATAGATCTTGTTCGAACGATATATTGTACACTTGTATTTTTATATTTATGCTCTCTCTCTCTTATAAGATTTTTTGTTGAAAGAATTATGCATGTATGAAATATATACATAATAAAAGTTGTTTACCCAGAAGTTTGTGTTTTTTATTTCACATTTCTGCTTAGAAACTGATGGAAATGAATGAAAAAAGATCTTTTAAGGACAAGATTCAATAGACATGAAGCTAACAATATTTTTTGATTTGTTGTAATCTTTCTTAACATGGTAATTATAATTATAATATAATGATCTTGAATTTTATACTTAAGTATAAGAATAATTATTTTATATTTTCTCTTGAAATATTTATCTTCATTATATATTAATCGTACATAATGATTTGCTATTGAAATGTCCTTGTAGCCTATACTTGCTTTATTATATATTTCATAAAAATACTTGATTTGTTTCAGGCGATGAAGAACCAGATGCTCAACTCTCTAGCTCAGTTACACGGCTCTCAGCAGAAGGTAAATAATATTTTATAATCTATACTTTATAATATTTTGATTCAATATAAACCTCGAGAATTAAAATATTGCTCTTTTTTTTAATAAAATAATTTTTATTTCAGATATTGATTTATATGGATTTTGTCCCGAAAGAGATACTTTTTACACGGTAGTGTGTGAAACCTGCCATGCAATAGTCAAACCACAGGCTCTTATTCAACATATGGGTACGTTATGTTTCTCATTCTATTCATATTCGTTATATTTCCAAATAAAGTCTATTATATTTATTAAATAATGAAATAATTTTAATTGTAAATAATATAAAGAATACAAATGATTCTTAGTTATCTTTTTCATCAACATAATATTCAAATATTATATTTTTTTTAATTAGATATAATTGTAACGTACATACAGCTCACATTTCTGGGTCAAGTATATCTTGTATTTATTATCAACTCTATATTAAACGTTGTTTATATTTTGCCACAGAAAGTCGCCATCCTTCCGGCACGGTCAATTTTCCACCTCCTTCTACCCCAATTGTAAAAACTCCTTTGAAGACACCTTATTGCAAAGTGTCGAAATTGAAAAAGACGCAGTCATCGCCGCAGATCTCGAGTAGCGGGAGCAATAAGATCAATCACGCGAATGTGAAACGGAACACGGAACAACCTACTATCTCAACGAGCTTGTCATCTACGTCAATATCGGTCCCCTCGTCGCCTCGATCACCCCTTGAGTCATTACCATCGTCTGTTCAGACATCGAACTCCGGCTCAGGATCGGTGATCGCTTCGAGCCCAGTGAAAAGTCCGGGTACGGCG